TTAGAGAGATCATATGATAATTGTCTTTCTCTGATTGACTTATTTTGCTTAGCATAATACCCTCTAGTTCTATCTACATTGTTGCAAATGGCAAGATTTCATTTCTTTTGATGGCTGAATAGTATTCCACTGTATCACATCTTTTTATCCATTCATCTGTTGATGGACACCTAGGTTCTTTCCATAGTTTGGCTATTGTGGACATTGCTGCTATAAACATTCAGGTGCACATGCCCCTTTAGATCACTACATTTGTATTTTTAGGGTAAATACCCAGTAGATAAGCACTGTTTTTATCCTTTTTCTTGTTAATGTGATATATAATGTTGATTGATTTGCAAATTTTGAACCCCTTTACAGTCCCACTTGATTGTGTTGAATGATTTTTTAAAATATATTTTTGGATTTGGTTTGCTAATATTTTGTTGAGGATTTTTGCATGAGAAATCTTGGCCTGTAGTTTTTATTTTTTTGTAATGTCTTTATCTTGTTTTGGTATCAGAGAATTGCTGGCCTCATAGAATGAATTTGGAAGCTTTCCTTCCTCTTCTATTTTTTGGAATAGTTTGAGAAGAATAGGTAGTAACTCTATATTTATTTATTTTTCTTTTTAATTAACATATAATGTATTGTTTCAGGGGTACAGTTTTGTGATTCATCAGTCTTAACACTCAGCACTCATCACAACACATACCCTCCCTAGTGTCCCTCACCCAGCCACCCCATGCCCCCACTCCCCACGCCTCCAGCAAACCTCAGTTTGTTTCTTAAAATTATGAGTCTCTTATGGTTTGTAACTCTTCTTTAAATGTTTTGTAACATTCACTTATGAAACTATCTAGTCTTGGACTTTTGTTTTGGGGGGAGGTTTTTTTTTTATTACTGATTCAATTTTATTGCCAGTTAATTGGTATGTTTAAATTTCCTATTTCAGGGGCACCTGGGTGGCTCAGTTGGTTAAGTGTCTGCCTTTGGCTCAAGTCCTGATCACAGGGTCCTGGGATCGAGCCCCATGTTTGGCTCCCTGCTCAGTTGGGAGACTGCTTCTCCCTCTCCCTCTGCCTGCTGCTCTGCCTGCTTGTGCACATGTGCGTTTTCTGTCAAATACATAAATAAAAAATTAAAAAATAAATTTCCTATTTCTTCTTGACTAAGTTTTGGAAGGCTATTACATGTTTCTAGGAATTTAGCCATTTCTTCTAGGTTGTCCAATTTGTTGATATGTAATTTTTTATTACTTATACATCTTTTACTATCCTTTGTATTTCTGTGGTGTCTGTTATTATTTCTCTTTTTTCATTTCTTGTTTTATTTTTTGACTCATTTTTCACTCTTTCTCTCTCTCTCTCTTTTTTTCTTTAGATGAGTCTGGCTAAATGTTTTAATTGAAATATACTATTGGCTTTTTAGCCATTATTTCATTTATTTGTGGTATAATCTTTTTTATTTCCTTTCTTCTGCTGATTTTGGATTTTGTTCTTTCTTCTTTCCCTAGCTCATGTTAGTGTAAGATTAGGTTGTTTATTTGAGATTTTTCTTGATTCTTGAGGTACACCTGTACTTCTATTTTCTCTTAGAACAGCTTTTTATGCATCCCAAAGATTTTGGACTATTGTATTTTCATTTTTATTTTTCTTCATGCATGTTTTTATTTCCTCTTTGATTTCTTGGCTGACCCATTCATTGTTTAGTAGCATGTTATTTAACCTCCATGTATTTGTATTCTTTCCAGATTTTTTTCTTGTGATGGATTGATAGTTTCGTACCATTGTAATTGGAAAAGATGCATTATATGATTTCATTCTTTTTCAAATTATTAAGATTTGTTTTGTGGCCAAATATGTGCTCTCTTCTGGAGAATGTTCCATGTGCCCTTGAAAAGAATGTGTATTCCAAAGTTTTGGAGTGGAATGTTCTGAATATATCTGTTAGATCCATCTGGTCCAATGTGTTGCTCAAAGACACTGTTTCCTTTCTAATTTTCAGTCTGAATGATTTATCTATTGATATAAATGGGTATTAAAGTCCCGTCCTATTATTGCTTTGCTATTGATTTCTTCCTTTATGTTTGTTAATAGTTGCTTAAATGCAAAATTTTAAGTTGAACACTAAGCTACCAACCAAGGGCCACTGTCCCTGAAGTTTGGCCAATCCTGCTTCTCATGGCATACCCTGGGGCATATAAAAACAACTTCAGATCTCTATAGACAACAGTTTGAAAGTCACTGTGCTAGAAATTTCTAACAGGCTACACAGACCAAAGATGAAAAGGACAGGCTCTAAGGCCAGATGATCTACATTCTAATTCTAACTCTGGGATTTACTAGTCTTGTGAACTTGGGAACGTCATTTGACTTTCCCTGCTTCATTTCCTTTAGCTCTAAAATGAGAATTATAATATCAGTATGATAAGGTTGTAAGAATTAAATGGGTTATTGTCAGGGTTCTTAACTGTTTATTGTCATGGACCCCTTTGGTGCAATTGAAAACTTTTTTTTTTTTCAACGTATAAAATAAAACATATATAATCATAAAGAAGCCAACCAATAATTTTGAAATAGAGTTATCAAATTATTAAAGGTCAGGTGATACAGTAGTATATATGATTCTTCACACATTAAATAACAAGATCTGATGCTGTGTCTAATAAATCATAATTTCAATGTAGTAATGAGCTTAAACAATGATTTCAAGGTATATGTTATAAAGTGCAATGTGTGATGAAAATATTTGTGATTTCTTTTGAAGAAAATGCTGAATTTCTATTGAAAGAGGTGCTAACTTTCAGTTAACGGTTATTGACAATATGTAATTTTTTCATTTAAATTTATGAGCTCCTGAGTTTTACTGGACTCCAAATTGAGAACCCTAGTATTAGAAGGTTTAGCCACAGTATCTTAGAGATTGAGAGTTTAAGACATACTTATTGTTACAATTATTACCATCATTATCACCACTGTCATTATTACAGAAGGGAGGAATATATATTTAGAATTCTTAATTTAGCAATAGTGTTTTAATAATGTTATAATATAATAATAATGTTATAAATGTTATGTGATAATGTTATAATAATAATGTTATAATGTAAATATAATAGTGTTATAATATAAAACATTATTTAATAATATTTCAGTTTAAGATACTAAAAAATAAAGTTGAGTATTTACTAACAATATGGGATAAAATATGGCAGAATCAACTTTTTTAAAAATTTAAATTCAAGTTAGTTAACATATAGTACAGTATTGGTTTTAGGAGTATAATTTAGTGATTCATCCCTTACATATAACACCCAGTACTCATCCCAACAAGTGCCCTCCTTAATACCAATCACTCATTTAGCCCATCCCCCACCCACTCTCCCTCCAGCAACCCTCCGTTTGTTCTCTTAACTGCAGAGTTTCTTATGGTTTGCCTACCTCTCTGTTTTTATCTTATTTTATTAGAAACTATATACAAGAACATTTTCCTAAAGCCAAAATACCAAAGTTTACAAATATCAACAATTAGATGACCTGCCATATCTAAAGTGTTTTCACTTATATCTGTTTTTCAGGTTTTTTTTCTAATCCTAGTAATAATAATCCTAGTATATTCTTGTTCCCATCTCATTAGTAATCTCCACCTTTTGTCACATTGAATAAATAATGTGCCTTAAAAAACAAAACACTGAAAATTATACAAATTTATTCAGAAGTCTCTTGAGAGACTGGCCCCCAACAAGAGTAATATTGCTTGACTTAACAGCTTAGATTAGTTTTGGCTGTTTTTATGCTTTTAGAAATGTACCACACCTCTTAGTCTGGATTAGTTCAATCAACATTTTGTTTCTCAGTTGCATCTATACTAATTCATGAAGTTGAAGTTATTAGTTGCTGAATAACATTCCATTGTGTGAACATACCACAGTTTTCTTTATGGGCATTCAGATATTTTCCAGTTTGTGGACATTAAGAATAAATACAACTGTTCTGGGCCTTAGTACTGTTTGGCATTTATCTATGAGTAGGATTATTGGGTCTAATTGTATAAGCTAACATACAGGATGGAATTATCCAGTCAGACTCACATAAATCACAGGAATCTTATCCTTTAGCAATCTTTATTAAATAATTTCTATTTGAAGGTAATTGAAAATTTCAGGAAGAGCAGAGAGAGGTTTAGGGCATCAAAGGTAGTTTCCCAGGACCTGTCTTTTTCTGTCCAACATATGGCTCAGAATAATGGATAAGATCTCTATGTTACATCTGCAAAGTCACTTCATACAACAGGAGCATTTAAATTGTGAAGCCAGAGAGCTGTGTAGCTTGGGCGAAATCCTCCAGAGGGCCATTTCTCATAAACCCTGGGTTCTTTTCCTATAGATAATTCTTGACTAGGACATCCTGAGCAGGGGATTTCAGAGATAATGTCACTTCTTCCTAGCAAATATCATTAGTCTATTTATCCACAAGTCCATTTATGAAGAAGATTAGACTGGATGACCCCAAGAGCTTTTCTCTCAAGGACTTTTCCTTGGTGTAGTGATTGGATCAAAACCCAGTTGTCTTAACTCCTTCCTCTCAACATAGACAGCTTTAACAGATACTGCCAGTTTAATAAAATGACTGTACTAATTAGTCTCCCAGCAGTAATATATGAACATTTTGACTGCTCTACATCCTCGCTAACACTTATTTTCCATTGTTGTTGGTTTGTTTTCCTTTCCATGATCATGGTAGGTGTGTAGTGAAACCTCTTTGTGGTTTTCACTTGCATTTCTGTAAAGACAGTGAAGATCTTCTTTGGCTTTTTGGATATCCTCTTTTGTAAATTGTTCAGCAATTTCCCCCCATTTTGTACTGGATTTGTGTGCTTTTTTCCTGTTGATCTATAGGAGCTCTTTATATATTCAAGGTAGTTATTTTTTTTAAACATTCATCACCATACTCAGTTATAGAACTTAAAATTTTTTTTTGTGATGAGACCTTTTAAGATTTACTCTTTTAGCAACCTTCAAAAATATGGAATGCTTTATGAAGTTGTGTGTCATCCTTGCCCAGGTGTCATGCTAATCTTCTTTACATCTTTCTGATTTTAGTGTATGTGCAGCCAAAATGAGCATGAGAATAGATTTTTTAAAATATTCTATTATGAATATATTTTCCCCCTTCATGTACTACCTTTATACTCTTATTAGTAATTTTTTTTTTGATGAATACAAGTTCTTACTTTTATTATCCAGTTTTCCATGTGTTTTTAAAATCTAAAATGAGCTAATAATGACCTTCCAAATTTCTTCATCCATTAGTCCTAGTTTGGGAATTAAAGGACCTCAGGAAGCCTGAATGAAAATTATGCCTTAGAAGGAGGGAAGAGGAGAACCATGAATGATTTAATGCCCCTTTGGTCATTTCACACAACCACATAATTTATTTGTCATATCTTATGTTCTGAATGGTTGGCCTTATTGCCTTCTGACAGTTTTGGCATTAGAAGATTTGAGAATTTGTGGCTTTTTGTGGCTTAGCAGTATCTATTTGCTACTTTTGGTTCAAAATATATTGCTTAATCCATACCTCCCATGTCAGATAAACAGAAATTGGGTGTGTATTCTCTACCCAGTACTATAACCAAGTACATTCCATACCTGCTTTTGTTCCTAGATACAAATAATTTTTTTTTTAATTTTCAGAGAAAAATGGAGTTCCTCACTAAGCTGCTTCTTCAGCCCCTTCTTAATGTTCACTTGTTTGAACAGAAAAATTGTAAGAAATTTGTCTATAGTTCTTAATTCTAAATATGTAACTGTGTATTTGGTATTGTCAGGTTTTGGATTTTAGCCATTCTAATAAGTATGTAGTGATATATTGTTGTTGTTTTAATTTGCAATTCTCTAATTACAGGTGATGTTAAGCATATTTGCATATGCTTATTTGTCATCCTTATGTTCCCTATAGTGTTCCCATTTTCTGCTTGGGTCGCTTGTATTTTTATTGTTGAGTTTTGAGTTATTTATGTATTTTTTATATAAGTGTTTTATCAGATACATATTTTGCCCATATTATCACCAAGTCTGGGGTCTTCATTCTCTTAGTACTGTCTTCCACAGAGCAGAAGTTTTTAATTCTAATACAGTTCAGCATTTTTCTTTCATGGATGTGCTTTTGTATTGCACCTAAAAATACCTTGCCAGGCCCAAGAACACCTAAAATTTCTCCTATGTTTTCTTCTAAATGTCTAATGTCTAATGTACTTTACATTTAGGTCTATGATCCCTTTTGATTTGATTTTTGTGAAAGGTATAAAGACTGTGACTAGATTCTTCTTTTTTTCAATGTGGGTGTCTAGTTGTTCCAGCACTGTTTGTTAAAAAGACTGCTTTCTCCATTGAATGGCCTTTACTTTTCTGTCAAAGATTGTTTGACTATATCTGTGTGGGTCTGTTTCTGGGTTCTCTGTTCTTTTCAATTGATCTATATGTCTATTCTTCTGCCAATACCACATTGTTCTGATTACTGTAGATTAGTAAGTTTTGAAGTTAGTTTCAGTCCTGAAACTTACTACTTTTTTATTGGTTTGTTGGCTACTCCAGGTCTTTTGTCTTTCCATATAAACTTTAGAATCAATTTGCTCATATCCATAAAATGGCTAGCTGGGATAATGATTTGCTTTGAATCTATAGGTCAAATTGGGAACAATTGAAATCTTGACAATATTGAGTTTTCCAGTCAATGACTATGGAATACCTTTCCATGTATTTAGATATATTTTTAATTCTTTTAATCAGAATTTTGTGGTTTTACACAAATATACAAACTGCATATTTTGTTAAGTTTATTCTTATGTACTTCATTTTTGGGGGGGTGCTATTGTGTTTTTCACTTCAAATTCCAATTGTTCATTTCTGGAATGTAGGAAAGCAATTGACTTTCATATATAAACCTTGTACCCTGTAACTTTACTGTAATTGCATATTAGTTTCAAGAGTTTTGTTGTCAATTCTTTGGGATATTGTATGTAGACAATTATGCTATTTGCAGAAAAGGACTATATTAACTCTTCTATCTATAATCTATCTATCTATCCATCTATCTATCTATCAATCATCTATCTATATCTTAATTGTACTTGCTAGGACTTCCAGTACAACATTGAATAGGTATGGGGAGAAGGGACATTCTTGTCTTCTTCCCAATGTTAAGGAGACAGCATCCAGTTTCTTAGCACAAGTATGATGTTCCCCGTAGGGTTTTTGTAGATGTTCTTATTCAAGCTGAAGACATTTTCCTCTATTCTTAATTTGTTGAGAGGTTTGTTTGTTTGTTTGTTTTAATTATGAATGGATGTTGGACATTGTGAAATGCACTTTTTTGCATCAGTTGTTGATGTCATATTTTTTTTCTTCTTTAGCCTTTGATGTGGTGGATTATATTGATTGATTTTCAAATGTTAAATCAGTTATGACTTCCTGCTATAAATAGCACTTGGTCCATGTTGTATGATGATTTTTATACATTGTTGAATTTGATTTGTTTTTTGAAGATTTTTGCATCTATGTTCATGAAAGATATTGGTTTGCAGTTTTCCTTTCTTCCAATGACTTTATTTGGTTTTGGTAGTAGAATGGCCTTATGGAATGAGTTAGAAAGTGTTCCCTCTGTTTCTATCTTGTGGAAAAGACTGTGGACGACCAGTATCATTTCATCCTTAAATATTTGGTAAAATACATCAGTAAAATCATATGGACCTGATATTTTTATTTGATTTCTTTCATAGATATACAACTATTGAAGTTATCTCTTTCTCCTTGTATCATGTTTAGTAGTTTGTATCTTTCGAGAAATTGGTCCATTTCATCTAAATTATCAAATTTGGGGACATAGAGTTGTTCATAAATTTTTTTATTTTTATTTTTTTAATCATTTTTTAAATTTATTTTCAACATAACAGTATTCATTGTTTTTGTACCACACCCAGTGCTCCATGCAATCCGTGCCCTCTCTAATACCCACCACCTGGTTCCCCCAACCTCCCACCCCCCCACCTCTTCAAACCCTTCAGATTGTTTTTCAGAGTCCATAGTCTATCATTGTTCACCTCCCCTTCCAGTTTCCCCCAACTCCCTTTTCCTAACTCCCCATGTCCTCCACGCTATTTGTTATGTTCCACAAATAAGTGAAACTATATGATAACTGACTCTCTCATAAATTTTTTTATCATCCTTTTAATATTGATAGGATCAGTAGTGATGAGCCTTCTTTTACTTATATTAGTAAGCTAGGTCTTCTCTCTTTTTTTCCCCTTGGTTAGCCTATAGGTTTATAAATTTTATTGAACTTTTCAAAGAACCAGCTTTTAATTTTATTGGCTTTTTATATTGATTTCTTGAATTTTACTAATTTCTGCTCTTATTTTAATTATTTTTTTCTGCTGCCTGTTTTTGGCTTATAATACTCCTCTCTCTCTCACATACACACACATATTCTCTCTCTCACTCAATCATCTAAGAAGGAAACTTAGATTACCAGTTTTCAGGTCTTTCTTCTTTTCTAATATAGACAATTTTGTGCTACAAATTTCCCTCTAAGACTGCTTTTGCAGCATTTCACAAATTTTAATGTTTTATTTTCCTTGTCATATAGTTCAAATATTTAAAAATTTCTCTTAAGACTATTTTTTGGCCCATGAATTATTTATATGATATTTAGACTATAAATATTTTTGGATTTCAAGCCATCTTGCTGTTATGGATTTCCAGTTTAATTCCATTGATATCTAAGAACATAATTTGTATGATTCCTATTTTTAAATAATTCTTATGGTATGTTTATACCCCAGAATGTTGTCTATCTTGGGCCATACTCCATACCAGCTTGAGAATAATATGTATGTTTTCTGTTATTTGATGGAGTAAACGTTTTGGGGAGGGGGAGTAGCAAAATAAGGTTTATTGAACAATAGCAAGATGATAATACAAAGATCCTGAGGAGAGAGGGGACCCAAAGGGGTTGCCACCAGAGTTTCTAAGTCTAGGGGTTTTTATGGGTTTGTTGGCCCACTGTTTTAATCTGATCAACCCTCCCTTCACCTGTCATCCAATCAGATTCTTCTTACCTATCAGATGGAAAAGTGTGGGGCGCTCTTTCTAGGGCAGTGTAAAATCCCTTTAGGTGTGCTTTCCTCTTAGGGTGGAGGCCCCTTGTCCCTGCCTGCCTTCTAATTATCTTTCATCATTCCCCCCTCTGAAGAGGTAACCCTAACTGCTGTTAGGGTAGAAGGGCGATGATCAATCATAGCTACTTCCTGCTGGTGTTGGATGGGACAACAGTGAGTATTCTTTTCATCCGGATCTATCAAGTGGCCTCATGTAGATGTCTGGTTTGACTGCCATGTGAGGCTCCATCTGAACCACCACCATTTGGAGTTTGATGACATTTATTCTGGAAGATATAAAGTGTGTTAGGGCATTTAGGAGGCAAGACCCAAAGCACAATTCAAGATTGAATACAGCCATTCTGGCAAGAGATAGAGGATGTTTTAGTGAACTCCCCAAATACTGTGAAGAGAGGGCAGGCAAAAGGCACTTCAAGACTAGTTTGAGGTCCTCTCTGGGTTCACAGAGGGATTTTCATTCCTTGTTGTTTGTTCCCCCAATGTGGGACCAGGGTTTGACTCTGAAGGGATAGATCCAGGCTTCATTTTGACTGCTATTGGAGTTGCTTAAAATCACTGTATATAGGCCTTCCCAGACCAGCTCTAACAAGCACTTGCTTCCCAGGGTGAAAATGGGACAGGTTGGTTATTTTGTGGCTGGGAATTAGGAAGCTACTTATAAGAGGGATGAAATGATTAACGTCCAAAACCTTGGCTACTTCCTCTGTTATCACTCTGAAGGGCCTAGGGAAGTCCAAACCAAGGGATTTACCAGTGCTTTTATCACTTCTGAGGCTTTTTTGGTTTTATAGGGGAAGGCTTCAATCCAGTGCATGAAGGTATCTACCCAAACCAGGAGGTACCTATACCCATGCATTTTAGACACGTGTGAAGTACACTTGCTGATCTTCCCTAGGTAACTTCTCACTTGCTGTATGCCTCTGGGGATTTGTGAATGGGAGAATGG